CATCATCATCATCATCATCATCATCATCATCATCATCGTCATCATCATCATTACCATCATCATTATCATCATCATTCCTCTCCTCTCCTCTCCTCTCCTCTCCTCTCTCCTCTCCTCTCCTCTCCTCCTCTCCTCTCCTCCTCTCCTCTTCACCCACCCAGTACACCGTTTCGTGGCCCCATAGGGAGCTCCACCGAAGGCCCCAGTGCCCGCGCCCGCATGCGTCACCCACACCCATTTCGGCACACCCCTCACACGTTTCGTGGCTCCATAGGGAGCTCCACCGAAGGCCCCAGTGCCCGCGCCCGCATGCGTCACCCACACCCATTTCGGCACACCCCTCACACGTTTCGTGGCTCCATAGGGAGCTCCACCGAAGGCCCCAGTGCCCTCGCCCGCATGCGTCACCCACACCCATTTCGGCACACCCCTCACACGTTTCGTGCTCCATAGGGAGCTCCACCGAAGGCCCCAGTGCCCGCGCCCGCATGCGTCACCCACACCCATTTCGGCACACCCCTCACACGTTTCGTGGCTCCATAGGGAGCTCCACCGAAGGCCCCAGTGCCCGCGCCCGCATGCGTCACCCACACCCATTTCGGCACACCCCTCACACGTTTCGTGGCTCCATAGGGAGCTCCACCGAAGGCCCCAGTGCCCGCGCCCGCATGCGTCACCCACACCCATTTCGGCACACCCCTCACACGTTTCGTGGCTCCATAGGGAGCTCCACCGAAGGCCCCAGTGCCCGCGCCCGCATGCGTCACCCACACCCATTTCGGCACACCCCTCACACGTTTCGTGGCTCCATAGGGAGCTCCACCGAAGGCCCCAGTGCCCGCGCCCGCATGCGTCACCCACACCCATTTCGGCACACCCCTCACACGTTTCGTGGCTCCATAGGGAGCTCCACCGAAGGCCCCAGTGCCCGCGCCCGCATGCGTCACCCACACCCATTTCGGCACACCCCTCACACGCTTCGTGGCTCCATAGGGAGCTCCACCGAAGGCCCCAGTGCCCGCGCCCGCATGCGTCACCCACACCCATTTCGGCACACCCCTCACACGTTTCGTGGCTCCATAGGGAGCTCCACGCGAAGGCCCCAGTGCCCGCGCCCGCATGCGTCACCCACACCCATTTCGCACACCCCTCACACGTTTCGTGGCTCCATAGGGAGCTCCACCGAATGCCATGCCCGATGCGTCACCCACACGCGACCGCATAGGGAGCTCCACCGTGCCCGCGCCCGCATGCGTCACCACATTCATTTCTGCACACCCCTCACACGTTTCGTGCCTCCATATGGAGCTCCACCGAAGGCCCCAGTGCCCGCGTCCGCATGCGTCAGCCGCGCCCATTTCGGCACACCCTCACACGTTTCGTGGCCCCATAGGGAGCTCCGCCGAAGGCCCCAATGCCCCCGCCCGCATGCGTCACCCACACCCATTTCGGCACACCCCTCACACGCTTCGTGGCGCCATAGGGAGCTCCACTCGAGGCCCCAGTGCCCCAGCGGAAGGCCGTGCCCGCGCCCGCATGCGTCACCCACACCCATTTCGGCACACCCCTCACACGTTTCGTGGCTCCATAGGGAGCTCCACCGAAGGCCCCAGTGCCCGCGCCGCATGCGTCACCCACACCCATTTCGGCACACCCCTCACACGTTTCGTGGCTCCATAGGGAGCTCCACCGAAGGCCCCAGTGCCCGCGCCCGCATGCGTCACCCACACCCCATTTCGGCACACCCCTCACACGTGTCCCCATAGGGAGCTCCGCCGAAGGCCCCAGTGCCCGCGCCCGCATGCGTCACCCACACCCATTTCGGCACACCCCTCACACGTTTCGTGGCCCCATAGGGAGCTCAGCCGAAAGTCCCAGTGGGTGTGCCCGCATGCGTCCCGCACACCCATTTCGGCACACCCCTCACACGCTTCGTGGCCCCATAGGGAGCTCCACAGAAGGCACCAGTGGGTGTGCCTGCGTGCGTCCCGCACACCCATTTCGGCACACCCCTCGTACGTTTCGTGGCCCCGTAGGGGGCTCCACCGAGAAGATATTCACAATTGCAGTATTCACAATTGCATATGGTTGGGTCCTTCGCGAGGATAAGTTTATTACTGCAAACGAGCTGTCATGGACTCCTCCTACACATGCGACGTTGAAAACGATTAAACAATTAGATTTACACATGAACAGCCTAAGGTCCCGAATCGAAGCTTTTGTCGGACAAGTGGTCCTAGTGCTCCTCCACCTCCTCCTCCTCCTCATCCTCCTCATATGGATTTCCTCAGGATTCGGAATCGTACGGTTGTCTTAAGGATTTCTGTACAGCGTCCAGCATACCCGTATCATCGTCATCATCATCATCATCGTCATCATCGTCATCATTATGCTGCGATCTTCTGGAAAACGTTTATTATCCCACCCTGGACCTCGAACTTTAGTGTCCCCAGAGGATTAATATCAGGAGCACAGGGTCACGGTGTCCACCGTACATGTAGCAATATGCCAACCCGATGCTTGTGCCATCCTCCACCAAAAACCGCGTCTACACGTCCACCTTCAGTCGTGTGGATCCATTGTCAGCCAGACGCATCGTCTCGTTGAGTAGTATGGCGTCCCGCTCTCGCACGTCGACAACTCCTGCCAGAGCTCAGAAAATCAGCCGTCCGATGTGAGGCCTCGGATATCCCCATGACGTACCACACATGGACTGTAGGTGTGTCCACTCGCCGCATCTCGTCGTGGATATGATGGTTCCCTGGTTCCCTCGGCGAGGCAGGAAGTACGAGGCAGAAGGCCAGAGAAGGACAGAGGAGGAAGGCAGGAATGAGGAGACGCGACCCCAATGTTGAAACGGGAATCCAATGCAGGAGGGTTAGGAACAAAAAGCAAGCAACAATGCCGCGAAGCGGGATGTCCAGGGAACACCGGCACACTTTGTCATGAAGGGCCCTGCCTCACAATACCTTCGGACCTGGCCAATAGCACGCTAATGACCGCCTGAGTTGGCACTAGGGATCTCTGCAGTCGCGACAACGCGAAAGAAAGACGAGAAGCGAGCCATTCGATGATCATGAGTGGGCCAGTAGTGTGGCAAAAACCATTAGCGGGTCACGAGTGGGTCAAATTCATTCGTGTGCCATTAGCGGGGCACTAGTGGAGAATATGTGGGCCATTAGTGGGACTTAAAAATATAGCGGGGCATTCCATTAGCAACTGCCTGACCTTTGCGTCTGACGCCACGGTATGCAGGGTGTGCGAGGCGGGTCGGGAGCTCTTCCGTTCAATCTAGCAAACCCAACCTGGCGGGTGGGGGGGCAAACAATACAAAAAACGGCATCTCGGAGGTCTGGGAAGACAATGCCGCTCGAATTGCGCTCTCTCATCCGCCACGTCCTCTCGCCATACCTCTGCTTGTTTGCGTGCCTGCTACTGGGCTTTTGTCAGGTAGCAGGGCCCGATCAGGCCGCCGCGGCGGTCTGTCTAACGCATCACGCCCGTGTGCACCTGCGGCTTGCCCAAGAGCCGCGCTTGTCGCCGACTCGAAGAGGCTCCTCGGGACGAGCACCCGAGGCCTCGTGGCCCTGGCCCGGGACGGCGCAGGCCCGGCTGCTGAGGCAGGGCGTCCCAGTGCTCGCCGCGACGACCCAGGTCAAGACGAAACCTGGATGAGATAAACAAGGACACAGGAAAACACACACAAGTACTACGCGCCCCCCTTGGAGGCGCATTGCCGAAATGAACATATGGCACCAACGTCCCGAGTCTTGTAGCATATCGTTACCGGCGGTGTCGCCAAAAAGCCCCGGCCACCGAACATGTACTAGAAGATTTCTGAGCGCGCGTCGCCCCTGGGGGCAGAGCGCACACAGTATGAAGATGCCTGGGTGATGCCAACACATCAGGAATGTCTGAGAGCCGGCGGGTCTGGAGGACGTGTCGTCGGATGTTGCCAGAGGTGCTCCTTGCCCAAGGTGGCCCCACGATTCCTCTGGAGGCCCCAGATGGCCCCCAGGTCACCCCTCACGAGGCCCAGAGAGAGCCCCAGGGAACCCAAAATGGTGCGAACAACTCAGGGCACCTTGGGCCAGGACCACTGCTAGAAACATTCGGTATCGTTCGCCGCGGCTGCTCCCACAACATTCTAGAACGCTCTGAGGGAACTCTGGTACGCTCTTGAAAAACATATCCTCATCTCAAGCCCGTTTGAATAACACAAAGAGATACCGTGATACGTCTTGCAATGAAAATTGGAATTAGGACGCTTGCGTTCCGTGCATACTTGAATCTCCCAAGGTGTCAACGGGCCCTTCTGGGTCCCGATATCCAGAACAGGATGTGACATTTGCATGCTGCACCTGCTGGCAGGCCAGCTTCGTATCAAATTTCAGACGCCAACTTTAAAGGTCAAACCTGTCATAAACATCCGCAGGTCAGCGCCGACCCTGCTTCAGCACGTATCATCATGTATAGCGGGGCAACAATATGTTCAACCTCTTCGCGGCTGTCCTACTCCCTTGTCTATCTAGCCTAGCAAAACTTAACCCCAAGCTCCTCCTCCTCCTTCTGCTCCACCTCTTCCTCCTCGTCTTTGTCATCCTTCGCCTCCTGGCCTCTTCCTCACTCCTCCCCCCTCCCTCACCCACCCCCTGCGCGCGCGGGGAGGTGGGGGGATTGGAGGAGGGAGGCGAGAGGAGGAGGGATGAGGAGATGGGAACAAGGGACGACTCGACTCGACTCGACGACGATGACGACGACGATCACGACGACAACGCCGCCGACTACGACGACGACGAAGACGACGACGACGACGACGACGACGACGACGACGACGGCGGCCGCGGCAGCGGCGGCGGCAGCGGTGGCGGCGACGAGGACGGCGACGACGGCGGCGGCGGCGGCGACGGCGACGGCAACGACGACCGACGGCAACGACGACCGACGGCGGCGGCGGCGGCGACGACCGACGGAGGCGGCGGCCGCGCGCCGCTGGGGTCCCGCACGGACCCCTCAGTCGCCAGCCCGGCGAGGTGCTCCTCAAACCCCTGGCCCTCCACCAGCTCCTCGCCGCGCGGGAGGGGGGGGGGGCGGTGAGGGCGTGGCAACGTGCGCCAGGGAGGAAGCGCAGAAGAGGAGGAGGAGGAGGAGGAGAAGGAGAGTATGGTGCCAGGGGCATCGGTACATAGGCCCCTTCTTGGATTCAGGCACAGCAGCATGCTCAAGTTGTTTGCCTTTTCCCCATTGTAGTTTATTTTCGACCGCTCGCGTTCCCGCCGCTGCTCGCCTGTGCCTGAAGTCAATCATGTTCCAGTGCTCTGAACTTGTGTTTGCTGCTGATTGAATACTGACCATAAGACGCAACGGTCATCTCGCCAGTGTTTGCACAACGCACAGAAAAGAGTATGGCATGGTATGGGCTTGCCCTGACGGCGTCTTGGCTCAACTGAAGCAAAACCCGTCGTCGGGCATACTTCCTTCTTCTTCAAAGCCGGGATCCTCGGAATCTGCGGCAACTCGCTCGATGGCAACTCGACCGGGGGAGGAGGAGCACGAGGAGGAGGAGGGGAGGAGGAGAAGGAGAGGATGGAGACGAGCGAAAGACGTAGGGCTCCGACGGGGATCCTCTGGGGCCCCGGTAGTGACGGGACCAGGCAGAGCGGGCGGCAGCTTGTCCCGCGGGACGGCCCTGCGAGGGGCTAGGCCTGAAGGGTCCCAGCGGGGGGTTAGGGCCGAACCCCTGCGTTTGGCCCCTTGGGCTGGAAAGGGGGTTAAGCGTGAAGGGTCGGCACAACCCCTCTGTCCTGACCCCCTTTTGGAACCCTCTGGGGAGCAGTGGCGACGCGGCGCTGGCACAGGGATGGCAGCAGGAGGAGAAGGAGGAGCAACCTCACCATTTCTAGACAGTCAACCTGCTACCACAAGGAACGCCACACAAGGAACGAAAGCCCTTAGTGAACAAAAATGCGAATGGGTGCACGAAAAGCGTTAGTGGAACAATCAAAGGCAGCAGCGCGGAATGGGGGTTCCCCGCTGCAATGTCCCGGCGGAGAACCGCGTCTTGAAATGTGTCCTCTAGCTGCGGTTGCGGTTACAATGCGAACAAGGGCGGTATGACATGTGTCCTCTAGTTGCGGTTGCGGATGCGCCTGAGGGCGGCTTGGAATGTGTCCTCTAGGTGCGGTTGCGGTTGCGGTTGCGCCCGCGGGCGAGTTGAAATGTGTCCTCTAGGTGCGGTTGCGGATGCGTCTGCGGGCGGGTTGAACTGTGTCCTCTAGCTGCGGTTGCGGTTGCGGTTGCGCCCGCGGGCTGGTTGAAATATGTCCTCTAGGTGCGGGTTGCGGATGCGTCTGCGAGCGGGTTGAAATGTGTCCTCTAGCTGCGGTTGCGGTTGCGCCCTTGGGCGGGTTGAAATGTGTCCTCTAGTTGCGGTTGCGGATGCGCCCGCGGCGGTTCGAATGTGTCCTCTAGGTGCGGTTGCGGTTGCGGTTGCGCCCGCGGGCGGGTTGAAATGTATCCTCTAGCTGCGGTTGCGGTTGCGCCTACAGGCGGGGTGAAATGTGTCCTCTAGTTGCGGCTTCGGTTTCGTTTGCGCCCGCGGGCGGGGTGAAATGTGTCCTCTAGTTGCGGATGCGTCTGCGGGCGGGTTGAACTGTGTCCTCTAGCTGCGGTTGCAGTTGCGGTTGCGCCCGCGGGCGGGTTGAAATGTGTCCTCCGGTTGCGGTTGCGGTTGCGGTTGCGCCCGCGGGCGGGTTGAAATGTGTCTTCTAGGTGCGATTACGGTTGCAGTTTCCTCCGCGGGCGGGGGGAAATGCGTCGTCTAGTTGCGGTTGCGCCTGCCGGCGGGGTGAAATGTGTCCTCTAGTTGCAGTTGCGGTTTCGGTTGCGCCCGCGGGCCGGGTGAAATGTGCTCTCTAGTTGCGTTTGCGGTTGCAGTTGCGCCCGCGGGCGGGTGAAATGTGTCCTCTGAACTGCGGATGCGATTGCGGTTACGGTTGCGGTTGCGCCCGCGGGCGGGGTGAAATGTGTGCTCTATTTGCGCTTGCGGTTGCGCCCGCGGGCGGGTTGACATGTCTCCTCCAACCCGCACGTTTGAAATGTGCTGTCAAAAGTGCCTCCACAATCAGACCGATTCAATTCACTTCAGTCCAGAGGGCGCGGAAGTTCACCCGGCTCCGCCAGGAACCATGGAAAAACCTAAGGAACGGCGAGCCCCTCCCGAACGCGAACTACTCTTCATTTGACGGGCGACGTGATGTGCGCGGGTCCATGCCCGCCCGCCGCCACTCGAGCACTCTCGACCATTACGCGTGCGCACCATACCTCCCTCTCCTCCTCGAGCGGGGTTCGAAAGGCGCTGACTATACAGCTACACCCATCGAAGCCATGCCAATCCTGGGACCACATGGCGTACAGGCCAACCTGGGCTCAGGGCAGGCCTGGCCAGGATCGGTGGAGGTGTACGGTTAGCAGACGCCGCAAAGTCCTGGAAGGGGCAGAACTGTTCCGATACCGCTGCTCCAAAGACCTCGCCAAGAGTGCGTTGTGACCAAGATTTCGAGGCGAATCCAGCCCTGACGACGAGGCGATAATGGGACATGCTTTTTTATATAATTTCCCGTAACGATCGTTACCAGGGGTGGGCGCGGGTAGCGGTAACGCTTGGGAAGGGTGGGGTACGTCGGGGCGGGGGTACGCTGCGATCGCCACAGTCTGCGCGCGAACACCAGCATACGTACGATCGTTACCGCTACCCAAGAAGGGTGGGGGGAGGGTTTGGGCCGGGTGACGACCGTTACGTGCCAGAAGATAAAGCAACAATCGCTAGTGGTACCTGCATCTTTTCCTCTGCCTCTTCCTCCGAGCACATGGGGGCGCGATCAGGACTGGCGGCGGCCCCGCGGCTCCATCGCCACGGAGCTCAGCCAGCCGCTCGCCGGCGTGCCCGCGCCCGTGCGCTGGTCGATCAGCTGGCCGGGGCGGTGCCAGTGACCGATCAGCCGGGGCACGCAGCGGAAGTCCGGGGCGAAGAGGTCCTCGAGAGGGCGGAGCGGCCAACATCGAAATGGAAAATCGGTTCGGATCGGAACGTGCATCGGATCGGGCTGCATCGGCACGGAATCGAAATCCAATGGAATCAACTGCGCCGAGACGTACAACAACGCCATGCGAACATCAACCCGTATCGGAATCGAATCGGATCGAGCCGGCCGAAACCGACATCGAATGGGATCGACCGGATCGAAATGGACCCTGGATGCCAATCCCCATGTCATGAAAAAACATGACGGAACATGTTCTGCAATATTCGGCCCCTGCGGGCACTCGCCAGGCCCTGTGACCGTTACAAAAAACAGCTCGGGATACAAAAACGGTCTCCCACGTCAGGCAACAAAAACATGACGTCGGGCGTCTGGGTTCGGGGGTAAAAACTCCACCCTTGGACATCTCCTGGGGCGCGTTCTAACCTGATTTTGGAGGCGAATCCAGCTGTCGCGACGAGGCACCCTCCAGAGGCCGAAAAGCTTTGACCCTCGGGGTTCGGAGCTCGTAGCGGGGAAGCTGACTTCGCGCATCGCGCCCCACGGCTCACGGCCAGCTTCGGGCCCCCGCGCCGCCCGCCTGGAGAGGGACGGCTCGGCGGCCCAGGCCGCGGCGCGCGAGAAGCACGCTGCAGGGCGAGAGGGGGAAGCGGAACTGATGAGGCGGAGAGGGAGGGGGGAGGGAGGAGGGAGGAGGGGCATTGGGGGATGAGGAGGACGCAGAGAGGAACGAAAGGAACAGGGGTAACAAGCTATACGTATCATGATGCGATTGGCTCAGGGCACGTCCCGGGGACCCCGGAGCTTCTAGCGGCCCTCCACCACTCGTATTTATCTACTCGGCCAGTCGTCTGTGGACGCGCGTGATATGAGGTGGATCTGGAAATATTCGAACGTATCTTGATCATGACTTCATGCTCCTTTGCTGATTGTATTCGCCGCTCCTGACGGTGGCCTAGGAAAAAGATCACGACAACTTGCGTGCTTGCTTGCTGGCTTGGAATTGACGAGCGTTTGTAGCCTGCACGCCGGCTGCGGAAACGAGGGGGCGCACAATTTGTTAACACCCCGTCGTCCGTGGTCAGTGGCTCAGCGGCGCTCATGGCGCACAAGGCCCAGGCAGAGCAATATTTGCCTGCTGTGCCGTAGTTCGGTCGAGGCTGGGCTTCAAAAAGGATTCATCGTCTGTTATGATCTCTTCAATTTGATTACGTTATAGGGTTGGTTTGCTACACCACAATCGACGTGCGACATGAGATACCCGTGGACTTCAACCATTGTGCAGGCAGCACGCTCGGTAGCTGTAGTGGCGCGGGGGTCAATGGGCCAAAGGTTGCGGCGCTGGTCGACGAGTCCCGGGCGGCCAGCGCCGAGGCGGCGCTGGACCAGCAGGCCATGCTACAGGAGCAAGCGATGCCACAAGAAGAGGAGACAGTCCTTAAATGTATGCGTGCCGCGGACGCCAGACTGTTGCACTTCTCGGACTCCACAAAGAATTTGATCAATCAGGCCAAGGTTCCGAAGGAAATCCCACCAGCCCTTTAGGGGGTAAATGGTCTAGCATGTTTTGTCCTCCATCTGCCCCTCTTACCCTTCGGGGAGGGGTTTGCCCCTCCCTTTACCCCCTTCCCTGGACGTGGACGGGCCCCCCGAAGGGTTGGGGCGTCCAGGATGGCCCGATATGGCGCCTCGGAAAGCCCAAGATGAGCTGCAAGATGGCTCAAGGTATCCCAATATGCCTCCAGATGGCTCCCAAGATGCTCCAAGAGGCCCCAAGACCGCTCCAAGACGGCTCCAGGTGGCATACGATCACCCCAAGGAGGCCCCAAAGAGACCAACATCCTTATCAAAACCACAGGAACAACAACATGTTTTGTTGTCTCGCCTTTTTCGCGTCTGGTGGCATCAAGATGGCTCCGAGATGGCCCAAAAAGGCCCCCAGAAGATTCCTCCTCACCCCCCTTCTCTTCCGCCTTCTTGTCCACCGTCTCTTCTTGCTTCCGACTCACCGCCCGACTCCTTCTCTTATTCCTTCTTATCCTCCGCCATCCTCCCCCTCTTGGGCTATCGGACGGTTTTCCCCGCGGTTTGTTTTTCTGCATGCTCCCGCCCCTAAACCTAAACCGCCCTAAGTGGCACCTAGAACATTTGCATCTGGCACCTAGAACTTGGTCGTCTTCGGGCCAATTGGCCTCGACACAGCGCGGCCGTCAGCCGATTCGGACCTACTCTCCCTGGAGACGCCTCGGCGAAAGCAGCCGCAAGGCCGCAATATATGGCTTTATTATTCGATCCGTATTGGGCACTGCTGGGGCCATAGGTGTCCTCTTGGAGCTGTCCCTCTCCTCCTTCTCCTCCCCCAGTCTCGAACCCCCCACCGGAAACTGTACATTGCAAGTACTTTCGCCCTCCTCCTCCTCCTCCTCCTCCTCCTCCTCCTCCTCCTGTCCCCCTCCTCAACATCCTCCTGTCCATTTCCTCCTCCTCCTCCAGTCTCGAAAACCAAACCGGAAACTTTACTGCAAGTGCCTTCCCCCTCCTCCTCCGCTTGTCCCCCTCTCCCTCCTCCTCCTCCTCCTCCTCATGTCCTTCTCCTCGCTCGCCTCCTCCAAGTCTCGGAACCCCCACCGGAAATTTTACTGCAAGTATCTTCCCCCTTCTCCTCCTCCTCCTCCTCCTCCTCTTCCTGCTCCCTTCCTCCTCCTCCTGTCCCCTTCCTCCTCCTCCTCGTCATGTCCTTCTCCTCGTTCACCTCCCCCAGTCTCGAAAACCCCACCGGGAACTTTACTGCGAGTACCTTCCTCCTCCTGTCCCCCTCCTCCTCCTTGCGTCTCTCTCCTCCTTCTCCTCCCAGTCAGTCAGTCAGTCAGCAAGTCAGTCATATCCTACATCCCAATCCTATTCGTCGTCATCAGGCTCATTCCCATTATCCTCCACATCCTCCTCCTCTTCTTCCTCTTCCCCCTCCGAGACCACGACGTCGTCGCCGCTGTCGTTTTCGTCGCCGCCGCCGCCGTCGTCGTCGTCGTCGTCACCGTGGTCGTGGTCGTGGTCGTCGTCGTCGTCGTCGTCGTCGTCGTCGTCGCCGTCGTCGTCGTCGTCGTCGTTGTCGTCGTCGTCGTCGTCGTCGTCGTCGTCCCCGTCCTGGAGCCCCCCCGCGGGCTGCCCCTCACGGCGATGGCGGGCCTCCGCCCCCTGAGGGGGGGCGCGCCCGAGCCCCGAGCGCATGCGCTGGGTACCCCAGTCGGGGAGGGAGGAGGAGGAGGAGGAGGAGGAGGAGGAGGAGGAGGAGGAGGAGGAGGAGGAGGAGGACCCTCACCCCCGAGGTTGCATTTTTTTCGCGACGTGACCCCCGGGAATCTGGACCAAGTTTTGTTCGTCCCGAGTGAAGGTCACTGTGAGAGGGCTCTCGAGGGGCACTAGGAGTGGGACAAGAGGACCCCAAGAGGGCTCCAGGAGGAGCGCGCCCGGTCTCATCGAGAACAGCGGTTCGATGAGACCTGGGCCCCCTTCTCTTAGAGTCCTCTTGAGGCTATCTTGAAGCCCCCCAAGGGCTCTCTATTAGCCCCTAGACGGGGCCAGGACAGGGTGGGCCGGTCCTCGAGGAGCCCCGGAGGGAGCCAAGCCAAGACGGCCCCAAGAGGGCTCCAAGAGGAGCGCGATAGGTCTCATCGAAAACGGCGGTTCGATGAGACCCATAGCGCCCCTCTTGGAGCCTTCTTGGGGCCCTCTTGGAGCTCTCTGGTGGCTGTCTTGGAGTCCCAGAGCGGAAAGCGCACGAAAAGGAGGAAGAGAAAGAAGAGGATGCTACTACTACTACTACTACTACTACTACTACTACTACTACTACTACTACTACTATTACTACTACTACTACTACTACTGCTACTACTACTACTACTCTACTAGTACTAGTACTAGTAGTACTATACTACTACTACTACTACTACTACTACTACTACTCTACTACTACTACCTACTACTACTACTACTACTACTACTACTACTACTACTACTACTACTTTACTACTGCTACTACTACTATACTACTACTACGACTACGACTACGATTACTACACTACGACTACTATACTACTACTACGACTACTACTACTACTACTACTACTACTACTACTACTACTACTATCCTCCTCCTCCTCCTCCTCCTCCTCCTACTACTACTACTACTACTACTACTACTACTACTACTACTACTACTACTAGTACTACGACGACTACTACGACTACTACTACTACTACTACTACTACTACTACTACTACTACTACTACTACTCCGCGATGGTGATGATGATGCTGATGATGGTGATGATGATGATGACGCCGATGGTCATGATGATGAGGGCGATGATGATGTGAGGAGGAGGGAGGAAGGGGGGGGAGGAGTAGAGGAGGAGGAGAGGAACGCGGGTCGACGTCTCTTCAAAACGAGGACCCAGCACCACAGGATGGTTGGTAAATATATGTATATAAGTGTATATGCGTGTACATGTGTATGGACGGGTGTGCATATATGTGTATATGCGTGTATACCCATGTACGCGGCACAAGCCGCGCGACGCAGTCGACATGGTGCCATGGGCTACATGTTGCTTGATAAGCATATTACGTTGCGCCATAAAGAAATCGACGCGGACAATGGTTGGGGGCGGGCTTATGCATCAGCGTATGTGGCACCATGTATGGACGGGCCTCAAGCGGAATTGGTTCCCGGGAGGCCGGGCCTCAAAGCGGAATTGGTTCCCGGGAGGTCCCGGGAGGCACTCTTCAAGCCGGAATTGGTTCCCGGGGGGCCCGGGCACCATGACCTCAAGCCGGAATTGGTTCCCGGGAGGCCCGGGCACCATGACCTCAAGCCGGAATTGGCTCCCGGGAGGCTCTCCCGGGAAGGCGCCCTCAGTGAAGACCGGCCGACTTCAATGAGCACGTTGCCGGTTTGGCCGATGGCCGCCGGAAATGTCCCGGGAGGGTCTTCCGGGAGGCTTGG